TGTCGTCATCAAGAAACCAGGTACGTATCTACGATAACCCCACAGTCTTGATCTCCTTCCGAAGTGACGAAGAATCCGAACAGCACTATCAATCATGAAGCCCCGCCCCGTCAACCGAAGTACAGGTGGCAGCAGCCACATCAGCGGCGGCGCGTGGCAGCTGCCACGTCAGCATGCCAAGAAGACAATCGCCAACCAGCCACCATGCCAGCCAGCAGCGTGTCGCCGTCTCTCCTCATATGCCAGCATAGAGCCAGCGTCCAGCCAATGTCTCAGCGCCGCAACAGCGTCAAAGTCAATGCATGAAGTCAGCATTGACGCAAGACTGAATGACCGTCAAGCCAGGAAGTCAACTCTTATGTGGTGTTGGTGCGGGGTCTGGACCCCGGGTGCTGTAGGCCTCAGCCGTCAAGATCTCGATGCGAATGCCGGCCTAGATCGGCCTGAAACTGTATTCCTCCCGCCCTAGATGCTGTCTGGGTACCTGCGCACAACAAGTGAATGTATCCAACCAAGGGCCTGGGTGCAGTACCTTTGACTCTACAGTTGACTTTGACTCTTGAATTTCCTGTGTGTAGCGCTCGGTCACACAGCCACACTCGACAGACTCACGGCTGCGTTTCCTGGGGCAGAGTTTTGAGCCCCAGGCTACTTCTGAACAGGGTTACTGCATCTATCTCTTTGCAAGTGCTTTCATTTCTTTCGCAATCGGGTGGCATTGTCTTTCATTGTGAATTTGCACTTGGGAAATGACCAGGATTGTAACAATTGGTATCGGAGCGGACTTACTTGCTGGCGAGAGGTGTTAGTCACCCTAAACCTAATTCCAAGTTAGGTCAGGGCTAACCTAATCTCATATTAGGGTTGGAAGTTAGAGTTAAGTGGGGCAGTGAGGTATGTGGATACTGCCCCCACCTGGTTAGGTTATGTTGGGTCGACATTTGACCTGACCAGGTTGACTGAGTGAATGGATGGGGTGGCGAGACACAAAGGAGGCTGATTGGAGTACGCGAGAGGGAGTAGAGAGTGAGAGGTACTCGCACCTGGAATCTGCACTTCAAGAAGACATTGAGTGACTTTTGGGCTTCCCCTCAAGAGGGAGACTTGATCGGAGGCTGCCATATCTGCATCGAATTGCTGCAAGTTGCTACTTTGGTCTTCAAACATCGACGCGGGATCCGGCTTTGCAACAGGGGTGTAGGAAGGCCCTCTTAGTCATGCTAGGACACTTCGTGTAGTGGTAGCTAGGGGTCAGGAGGACTTATGAGAGAGGGGGGTGAGTCGTTATCCATCTTTGGAGGCCGGGCCTCATAGGTAAGTGTCGTGTGACCTGGTTATGACCGTGGGAGGTTGCTTGGTACTTCATGGCCTGTTGGGGCGTGCTGGGCTCTCTTCCTCTTCTCTGCGGTCTTGGCTGTGTGTGTGAGCATGTGGATTGCTTTCTCACCTGATGGATGGATGGATGATGTATCTGTTCTAAATGACATATCTTTCTACGGTGCAATGTCTTTTCATTTCTGAATGGCTGTAGGGGTAAGTTCTTGCTGAAAGTTGTCTTTTCCTTTTCAGTACGGTAGAGGCAGTTTGGGACCGACTTGGTACCCCTATCACATTGGTCCTGGTCCACGACCTACTTGGGACCCCTCGCGACCCAGTGGGACCAGGCCCAACGGGACAGGACCTTTCGGGCCCAAATCTGTTGCCGCCAGTGCTTCTCTTTGCTGTGCTGAAATTGGGGGACATACGGCTAGCAAGAGCATTCCTTTTAAGGGGATCTTGACTAGTCTTACCGCCTGTTATCACATACTGCCCCGCGTCTGGCTCGGCGACCATCTGCACCCCTCGAAATCTCCATTGCTGCAGTTAGTTTTCTTCGGCTGATTTATTGTGATGCATGTCCCTTGTCAGGTTAGACAAGAGGGGATCTCCATCTAATCTGATCAGGCCCATTCTAAAAGTCAGTCCTCTCTTCCGTTTTATTTTATTTATTTATTTATTTATTTATTTATTCTTTTATTCTGCTGCGTGCCATTCTCTAAGTCCAAATGAATCGCCGCTCCGGCTAGGAGTTCTACCTTCTTCTCTGTGTGATTTTCTGCTTGTTTCTTTCATCTGAACTATCTATGTCCGGTATTGAAACGCGTGCGCAGACAGCGAGAAGAGAGAGAAGGTGCTCTGTTTAAGAGTGTGAGGAAGGGCAAGAGGAGTGTTCGTCCAAACGTAAGGAGAGAGCGGGCCCCTCTTGAGAGATCTACTAACACCCCTTCCTCCGGCATGGCAGACATCACATCTGCCCAATGGCAGGCCATGCTGGACGCAACGGACGAGAACGAGAAACCGTTCTTCCAAACGCTTTATGACGACGCCGTGCAGAGGGAAAGGGAGGCAGAGGCAGCGGCCAGAGCCACGTGCATTGCTGATCAGGAGGCTCTCCTTCGGATCCTGGAAGCCAGTGATGACCGGTTCCAGGAGAGACTAGCTGCTGCCGTAGCAGCCTTGGTTCGACTGCGGACCTTGGAAGACCTTGAGTCCCGTGTGACAGCACTAGAGCAGCGAAACCAAGAGTTGCAGGCTGAGATACTCAGCCTCAAACAGTCCCAACTGTCTGCCCCCCGCCCTCCTAACCCTCGACTTGCTGCAGTCCCAGTCTCTCAATCTAACACAGTCCTCATGGCAAGAGCAAGTGGAACTGTGACGAGCGCATTAACCAGTGCCAGCTCCTCGAGCGGCAGCGCCGGCAGTTCTGCACTAGTCATAGTCCCAAATGCAGGGACATCAACCCAAAACGCCACAGTCCTTACTGGCGTTCAGTACAGCGGTCCCGTAGTGGACAAGCGGGCGCCCACCTTGCCGTCCAAGTACGACGTGAACGCGGATATCACCTCTTGGATTAGTTCCATGCGTTCATACTTCGAGGTCATGCGGACACCGCAAGAAGACCGAAGCATGATCATGGGCACTAATATTGAGCCCGCCGTACGGAATCACATTGAGCTCCAAGCTATTGCTGCGGGTTATGAATGAATTGACATGACTGAGTGGCTGAAGGTAACCCCTGTACGCGCCCTTGAGGACCTACTCATCACACGGTACCAGGATAAGCATGCTGCGCTCAAGGCAAGGCTGAAGCTTGAGGCCCTCAAGGGCCAAACATGGAGGTCCTCCATGCAGGCTTTGGAACAGCACTTGACTGGTCTGTTCACCACTCCAGACCTGGGAATGACCGACGTGTCTTGTATGGATGTAGTCATGGGAGTGGCCCCTAAAGAATACCTCTCCCTGTTAGCACTCAAAGACCATACCATCTGGCGAGAGCTCATGACGGATCTAGTCAACCTAGAGGCCAAGGACCTCGCCAGGCGGAAGAAGGCGCCAGCTGCAGGTGGAAAACCACAACGCAAGCGGTATGGAAGCAGCAACCAGCTTGCCCTGCATGAACATCGGGAGGCTGAAGATCAGTCCTACGCGGATGATCTGTCTCTAGATGACGATCTAGAGCCGGACTTCGATATGGGCTGTTCCACATCAGCGATTGAGTCTGACGTAAACGAAGACGAAAAACTTAATGCGTTTAAAAAAACTGCTTCAAACACGGGGCCTAACCGTGGTTCGGGTAAGGGAAGTGTTGTCCACCTCCCCAAGAATGCGAAGATCCCTGAGAAACCGGAGGACGCATCTACCAAGCCTTGGGAAGCCCTCCCTATCAGTCAAAAGGAATGGGAAAAAATATTTAAACTGCGCATATGCTTGCATTGTCAAAAGCTTGGGCATGCTGTGCAGGACTGTTATAGACTTCAGGGAAACAGGCAAAGGGCGTAGAGTCGTCATCAGCACTCCCTACAACAAGGGAAGCTGGAACGTCAGTTGCAGGGCCCTCCGATGAGCCTGAATCTGATTAACAGCCTACTCTTGAAGCCCGTAACGACGCTGAATCCAAGGCTGCTGCAGTTCATGTGCTATACGCGGAGCCTTGGGAGGAGTCTAAGGAAGTTGACTTCCACGCTCACCTGGAACATTGGCTGCAGCTCAAGCAACAACGCCGTGTTCAAGGGAGTGTGGAGCTATCCTTCTTTAAATTGCTCATTAACCGCCGATACATCCGCATGCTGATTGATAGTGGTTCAACCACTAATTCCTTTTCTCCTAACGGGATTCGTAAGGCGGACCTAGGAGAATGAAGCAAGTGGAACTGCAGAACCCTTGTCAGACCCAAGTGGGCAACCAAGAGGTTGTCACCTCTACACATGTTGTCAAAGGTGTGCGCGTCACCTTTGACAAGGACCGCACTGTCACATATGAGCTCAACTTCTATGTCATGGACAAGTGTCCGTTCGACGTGGTCATTGGCTTGGGCTGGTTAAAGGCTCATTGCCTAAGGACCACGTGGGCGGACAATCAGTTCGTGGTACGTGATGCCAAGGGAAACGAGTGTACCGTCTTATTGGACGAGACGCGCGAGTCCCCTGTGACTCTTCTAAGTGCAAACGAATTCTGCAAATCAGTGCGCAGGCACAAGGAAGTTGAGCATGTACATGTAGCTTTTGTCAAGCCTCTTCATGTGCGTTCTACTTTTGCTGCATTTTCTACCTCGGTAAGTAACTCGACTTCTACCACCTCTACTTCTAATCCATCTACTTCTACTGTGAATAATCCCTCAACTTCT